GTTTTTGGTACACCTTATCATACATCAATTCTACACATGTTGTGAAAATTTCAGACCAAGGTCATTCAAGGTGAGGTCACCAGGTCACTTGAAGTGACCTCACCTCATAAAAAGTTTCAATGTCTGCCATAGCTACAACGAGTGACCGATCACTTTGAAACTTTCAGCGATTGATTAGGGTAACAGTATCTATAAAATGTTCATCTCGGAATTTTGATATCGGTGACCTAAGGTCAGGTCAATTTTGCGACCTCCCCATTATAAGTCAATGGGAGAAAATTGAAATGCGCCTCTTTTGGACGAAAGACATTATTAACACTCCCAAACACTGAATTACAAGTGGTTTAGACACACTGAACATGAAAATGGATTCCGTGACCCCTATTTATGCCCTGAGGTCATCTTAGGTCACGAATGGTATCTAACAGTTTTTCGCAAATAACTTTTGATAGAGGCATGCCAGAGCGGTGAAAACGCCTTAGATGTGTTCAGCTCGGTGATACGGATCGACTGATATGCAACATGACCCTTTCCGGTCAGGTCATGACCTTGACCTGAGGTCAAATTTTCAAGTTGACCTTTCAAGGTCAGTTACAGTTCATTCGATGCGTCTTGACAAGAGGAACAAGATGCCGGTAAAAGTAAGCTCGTACAAGGCCTGGGTCAATAGTTATTGCAGAACAACTGTTTCCGAAAAAATCGGCTATTTTTGCAGTTTTTGCCCCCTGCAGGCAAAACCGTTGACGTTAGGTCAAATCTGAGAGAATTATTCAGAAAGGGCGTTAATAGGGCTATTGAATGCGCTTTTCCGCGGCGCTGTAGCTCTATTGGTTCCCGAGTTATGCGTTGGCTTTCAGGAAATTGTCGACATTCGACCTGAAAATCGGCGAAATTTTGCCTTCAATGACCTCTGGTGACCTGACCTTTGACCTGACCAAAAAAGTGACCGAAGTGATTTCGTCATTATTTTTGGCGCTCTTTCGAACGCCGCCTTCCGCGTATCGCTACGTGGCCCAGGAGCCGAGTTAGAAGGGGGGGGGGTGTTCAAACACCCCCCCCCCCCAGCAGGGCGTGGAAATCCAGGACCCCCAGCCGGGCGCGGGTTAAAAGGACCGGATGAAAATGATTGTACAGTGTATAGTCGACTACAGAATGATGTTCCACTCCTCAGAAGCTATCAGTTGACCGGAGCGCTAAGTTGTGCCGTTTATCACGCAATTAAGCGTGTCGATTGTGAGCATTGGGACAAAGCTATAATTTTATATGGTAGGTACAACGTTTCTTTGAGCATGATTGTAATAAATAAAAATGGTAAAATTGACCTAATGCTCATAATATCGGAAAAATTAATTGAAAAAAGGTCCAGAATATATTTTCGAACTTGGTTCTTCTTCGGTGGATTCCACCGAAGAAGAACCAAGTTCGAAAATACCTATTCTGGACCTTTTTCAATAAATTTATCCGATATTATGAGCATTAGGTCAATTTTACCATTTTTATTGAAAGCTATAATTTGTGAACTCAGCCCGTGTGATGCGGCACAGCCTACCACGCCAGGCAAATAATTGTCTGTGAAAAGTGGAACATCATTCTGTGGTCGACTATACACCTTTGGCGTTCTCCATGTTGTTTGTAGGCTGATTCACATCGTCTGTGCGTGCCCAAAGATCTGCTTAAGGCGAAATACGTGCTCAGAAGATACGTGGCGTGAGTGGTACAGTCCCAATGCGCATAAAGTACAGTCACTCATCCGTCCGATATGGAATAAACTGAATTAAATATGTGGCGTGAATGCCTCCACTGCTGCAGTGTTGGTGGCATCCAGAAACGTTTCACGCTACTTCTGCCCAAAACGTCAGCAGACGGAGCATTTTCCGAATTAATCCCTATGCAAAATACCTACCGAGAACAGAAATGTGGGGCAAGCGGAAATTAAAAGTGCCGAGCGTAAGATGAGCGCGCACGAAGCGGACCGCTGAGCCGGCAGTGGCTCGGAGGATTAAGTGCCGTGTGCAGTGAGGGTATGCCGGCTAATTAGGCGTAATTAGGTGATTTGGCGCTTTAATGTCGCAACCGTGGTGTAATCTCTTCATAAGCCACAACTATATGATATATATCTATGTGATCATAACATACGATATTGGGCCTGGTGACATACGACCGGGGCCTGGTGGCATACGATATACACAATGGACCTCGTGCCATACGATATTGGGCCTGGTGAGGGTCTGGTGACATACGGTATGGGGCCTGGCGGCATATGATATTGGGCCTGGTGATTTTTGACATTGGGCCTGGTGACATACAACATTGGATCTGCCTGGTGAGTGGTGATTAACGACATATGAGCCTGAGCTTCACTTTATGTTTTAGTGAACACGAAATTCGCCTGCAGCCTGTCTTAGGTACGTGGCCTTCAGCGCAGAGCTAGAATAGGTATTTCATTATCAGCCCCTCAGCTGTTAGCACCAATCAGCGAACAGTGGCTATGGTGCCGTCTGGTGTCGCGCACCTCGTCTGATAACAGGAATGGTGTAGACCTGTAGAGCACTGACCTGTCGGAAGTCAGTGCTCATTTCTTTGAAGATGGCAGCACCACCGTCCCACGGACGGCGCCACCAAACAGACCCCCGTTCCTCAGGGATCAGCTACCGGGGTGAGCGTCCGCCAGGTGCCGCCACCAGACGGGCCCGCAGAGCTCGCTACCGCCGTGACTGAGCGTCCATCACTCGCCCGCGCCCTAGAACGGTGCAGTGCAGTGGTCTGACCGTAACCCAACGAAACATGGCAGCGTGAGCAACCCTTCAACTGAGCCCCTGGGAAACGATCACTCCAAAATACCGATGGTTGGCAGCCGAGTCATTGAATCTTGCCATGACCGTAATAGCTTTCAGAGAGTTCTCATCCCTGCACTCAAATTCGGCAGCAGCCAAACACTGTCTGCGTCTGTGATGTTATGTGACCGCAGACCGACCCTTGTCAGTGATGCCCGACACCGACCGAGCTGGTATTGAGTATATAACAGATGGGCACGTAAAACGGTCTGTCCATCCATAAATGATTTTAAGCGTCCTGAGTCGTTAACGAGAAAACGAGATTCAGTGATCTGAAATGACCTTTCTTTCGATGACAAATTGCAAAGGGAGTTCGCCTGAATTAGTCCGACTATGACGACATAACTGTGTGAGTGCTCCGTATTATTGCAGCGCGTCCCACCGACCATCAAATATCGCAAATAACGCAAATAACGAGATTGCATTGCATAACGCAATCTCGCAAAGCCACACGGTACGTAGAATGTACAACTACATGGTATGACTAACTAGATGGTAATTCCCAAGCGATGGGCGCCGCGGCCAATGAGGTACGCGCCATTGCCAGAGCGGCGTATGCAGCCAGTCATACCGAGTAGCTCGCCGTCCGTGCCGATCTCCCACTGACACGGCCGAGCCCGAGGAGCCGCACCCCCACACCGGCCGCCGGCGCAGGCCACGACGGCCCGCTTCAGGGGCGGCGTGGTGCCACTTCGGCGTCACTGCGCGATACTTCGTGTGATCCGCACCAGTTACAATAGGCATCGGCAGGGGATATGGGCTGTGACGTGCGAGACATTTCTAGCATACAACAACGCGGTGTCCTCATGAACGCTAAATGCACTTTTTTAATCACACGAGGACACAGCTGAGCACTTGATGTACGTCAAATACTGATCTAACTAGTTCCGTGTTTGAAAACAGCCGGAAAGCCGAACAAATAAAGTCGAAATTGGTGTGTCATATGCTATATTCTTTAATGAACTTCACAAGTATCGAAATGAACTTCACTTCTGTTTCAGCACGGAAATCGACCATAGCGCCAACACATTGGTGGGAAGGTAAAAAGCCTGACTGAAGATATACCCACATCGACACACAAGAAACGTTTCGCAATCATCACAAGAACCACCTTTTAAGCGACATCACGATGACAAAATAACATACTCTTCTAATACCGAATGATGACCTGCTAGGCACAAATAAAAAAGTAACGAGCGGCTGTTAGGTTGCCCGAGGTTCCGTATGATCCCGGCAAACGATGTCACCGTCTCAGATAATCTGCAGGACGGTAGCGATGGAACTGCATGTAACGTCGCAGTCAATAAACGCTACATACTCTTCACAAGGCAAATTACGGATAAATAGGACGCCAAATCGCGAAGCTGATAGCGGTGGATTGTTAGGCAAGTAGTTACATTGTAAAAACAGGCCTGAGAGTCCAGAGAAGTCGAGATATAAAACATAAAACGCATCGTTATGTCAAATCCACCTGGATTGAGTGTGGTTTCACCGGCCTTGAATCGCCTTCCTACTCAGTGTCGCTGTTTTCGCTGGGCGGGCAGGGACGAATCTTCCCAAAGACGCCTCAGAACTAGTCGAAAAGTGTTGACACGAAAGAAGAGTAGGGTTACAAACAATCCAGTTTCGTTTTGAAATAAGCTGATACGTGAGAAATGAGCTCGAAATATATGAAACCACTCAGTGCCAATAAGAGTAACATTTTGAAGTAATACAATGGTTGTGGACGAAAGGGACCGATACTATTTTTCAACGCATAAACATTAGACAGACAGTATCACTTATAAGCCACATTAAGTCCGTGCATACAATTGCTAGCCTGCAAAGACACCTCATGAGACACACACTGCTACGGTACCAGCAAGTGAACGTTACTGAGGTCAGGCCGGCTGGGCCAGCGACACACTCCGCCGGTGGGGAGAGGGTGGCTTCCTCCCCGTTCGATTGTACTCACTGACGGCCCACCCGGACGAACACGACCGTCACTGGCGGCGACTGCACTGTCACCCTCCGCTGCGGCCAGACTCGCCGAAAAGCCCTCCGGTCCACACAGCATGCTATCGAGCTCTACATATGTACAGTGTTCCGCCCCCCTATCAGAGCCGCCCGGTCCCCGCAGGGCGCAGTCAGCGCTCAGTACTGTCTCCCGGAGACGGCTGCCACCGCTCAGTCCCGCGTCGACCGGCCGCGGTCGCTGTCCTCCCGCTTCTGCTTGTTGTAGTGGTCCAGCTCCCGGAGGAACACGTGCTTCGGCTTCATCACGGTGGTGCGGTCACCGCGGCAGCGCGGGCAGTACCACTTGCCCTTGGGCTTGTGCACGATGTTGACGCAGGCGAAGTGGAACCACTCGATGGGACAGAGCTCGTTGTCACAGCCGATCATCTCGCCGAAGAAGACCTGCTCGCAGAGGCAGTAGGTGGGCTCGTCGGGCTCGATCGGCACGTCCATCGGTGAGTCCTCGCGGCCCTGGCGCGCCTTGCGCTTGCGGCGCTTGGCGGCGCTGGCGGCGCGGCTCTGGCTGCCCTGGCCGGCCGACCCGGTGCCGCGCGACTGTTTGGCGGGACGCGTCGGTGTCTCCTCCGCGTCCCTCGCGTCCGTGCTGTCCTCGGCGGCGGCGGCAGCGGCGGCGGCCGCCGCGGCCGAGGCCCGCTCGGCGGCGCGCGCGCGCCGCGGCCGGCGCCGGGGCAGCGCCGAGGCCGCGCCGGCCGGAGTGGCGCGAGACGGCGGCTCGGCCGGCGGAGAGGCCGACCGGCTGCCGCCCGATGGCGCCTGGTTCTCCTGGTCCTTGCCGTAATCTGGTGACAGGACAGAGACGGTGTGCTATCAGTACCTGGCGGAGTCACTCATGTCACAAACGTAGGATGCAGCCTGACTAATTACACCAATTGATTGAGTTAGGTATGCTAAGATCGAGTCAAAATTGAAAACGGATGGTGCATTGAAAAGAGACAAAGGTCAACTTGCGGGGAAATATACAATCAGTCATTAGCATACAGACGCCGAGACGTGTTGACATTTTTTCCCGGCCATAGAGTGATGAGGCATGTGTTTGTGTATATGTGCGTACAAGGGTATGTCTGTCAGTTAGGCGTATTTCACTTTAACCCGTATTTTACCGCGACATTAACCCGCGCCCCGTTGGGCTCTGCCGAGCAACGCGCCCTGTTGGAGGGGGGGGGGCAATTTGCCCCCCCCCCTAAGATCTCGAGAACCACGCAACCTAGCGACAAGCGGCAAACGGTGTTGGATAGCCCTATCAGGGAACTACCTTGTGACCCAATTTCATTGACCTAGTTCAAACCGATGACGTCACAGGTCAGGTCAAAGGTCGAATTTTCACCGTTTACAGGCATTTCAAGAAATGCGTTGTAAAATCGAGTAAAATGCATTTCATTGAAAATCATCGATGGGGAAATGTTCTTCAAACACATATTTTGCTATTTGAGGTCACTGATACCAGGTCAGGTCACAGAGGTCAGGTCACTGAGGGTCACAATATGAAAATAGCATGTGATGCATGTATTATGGTCCATTTTATATGTCAAATACGATTATGTGGGTCAGGCAGCCTTTGGGGTCAGTTTAGATTATGTTCTGGTGAAGGTCAGGTCAAGGTCAGGTCAAGGTCAGGTCAGGTCAAGTCAAATTAGGTCAAATTTCAAATTTGATATTTTTGCATAAAATGGGTATCGATTCGATGCAGCTCGTCACGGGGAGTTCAATGGTGGTCTTTGTTTTGCCCTACGTCGTCTAGAATCGCTAAAAATTTAGTTAAAAAATTTGACGTCATAATTTTTGAACAGTTTTTTTTCGCTATAACTTGGCCAAAAAACGAGATATCGATCTGAAATTTGGTATGTATATAGAGGAGCGCAGGGACTATCACATATATTCCGTTTTTTTCGAAATTCGGATTTTTTTTTATTTAAGTTTTTCTAAAAAAAAATCAATTTTTTGAATTTTTGGGGATCAAAACCCCACACTTTTGAAAATCCGAGATAGCAGTTTTGTAGCGCCGCTTTTTGTCTACTAGACCGTATAAAGAACTTTGAAATTGCTTGGTAACTGTAGATTTGGTGAGCGTTTCAAGAGTGTATGTTTTTTGCTCATTTTTGCTCGAAAATGACCTCAGTTTGACCTCAATAACTCCTGTCCTAAGGTGACCTAAGACTTGAAATTTGGTGTGAAGGTGTCAAATTGATGCCCGGGAAGGTACTGAAAATTTGGAGGCGCTGCGCGCCGCCGTTTTCTTGCTGTTCAGGAAAAACCACATGGGGGGCCAAATTGCCCCCCCCCCCAACGGGGCGAGGGTTAATCATGAATGACCCATTTTATTTCCCTTCTGACTTTAGACACATAGCCACGAATTGTCTGTGGAGTGTCTGCTGTGGTCAAATAAAAATACGGTGGCGCGGGAACTACTTTCAGACTTGGGGGCGGGGGGGGGACACCATAATAAAGATCAACATAGGGTACCCCCAAATCTAGTATTCTTACCGGTTTTAGGCCACTTACTTTTCATCCCTTGGCCTTTTCAACAAAGAAGAAAACATTTGCAAAAAAGTGTGGTATTTCGTCTCAAAGTTGTGGGGGCACCGCCCCCACGGCCCAAGAGTTGGGGGGGGGAGGGCAAGCTGCCCCACTGCCCCCCCCCCCGGTTCCCGCGCCTATGTAAAAATACAAATGCAATAATTCATTGAACTGCAAATGTCTAGCAATACCAGTAGACATTGGTCACAGTGAAATAAAAATGAAATACCCGCGAAAATAAAAAGGTACACAGCGCTGCCAGTTTTCGGCACACTGTGATTCGGCTAGTGCTGTCCAGTTCCACTCAAACCACTTGATTGTGCAGTACCAGAAGCAAAACCATAAATCCGGTGGACGTTTTAACTTTTAGAATGAGTTAGTGCGAACTGAGGCCCACCACAGGGGGCAGTGGCTCACCAAGGTTTTTGTAGTCGAGCTCGAGCTGACGGCAGCGGCCGTCCACCAGGTCGTGCACGCTCTGCAGCAGCTGCAGCTTCTCGTCGGCCGCCTCCTGCAGGGCGATCAGCGCCCGCTGCATGGCCAGCAGGCAGCGCGTGCGCAGCTGCTCGTTGGACTCGCGGCGCACGGCCGCCTGGCGCCGCTCCAGCTCGCCCAGCACTGACTGGTAGCGGATGTCGAGTTCGCGCAGCCGCGTCAGCGAGCGCTGCAGGTCGTCGGGCATGTTCTCCACGCAGTCCAGGTAGTCCTCCAGGTAGGTGGCCGAGTAGAGCGCCTCGCGGGACGCCTGGTTCAGCATGGTGGCGCCCGTCTGTCCGACCGTTCCCGTGTGTTTCGCCGACTATCGACAGGAAGGGTCAGAGGAAGTGGTCCTTATAAAAACACAAGTGGGAATGAACTAGGAAGCAATAGGTAAGGCACAAGGCATGCAGTGCCCATCACTTAGAAAGTTAACAAATCAGCCAGGCTAGGTAAATCATGTAAAATATTCAACACAATTTAGGTGGCAAGCATGCCAGCAATGATGAGAAAACGTCCCTCCCCAGCAGCAGCAATAGCCACAGCAAATATGTTTGGACAGCTTTTGAAAACTGGGAAATGCCCAATGACACTGTATAGTGTATAGTGTATAGGCTATACTTGGATCAGACAATTAACAGTGCTCACAGTGCCGTCTATATGACTATTTTCAATTAATATCTCCTGGTTATAAAACTTTGTGATAATGAAGAGCTTAAACATTAAATCAGACATAGCAGATGATTTATTGTAGGTACTGGTAGTTGCCTTATTGATAACTACTGTCATCAGAGTAAAATTGGGATACAAGGATAGAATTGGCAGTTTAAATAAAATGATATCATGTTCCAAAAGATCCACATAAACTGACAGAGGTGTCCATTAAGTATGTATTTCAGGTAAGATAACTATAAACAGCTTATCTGTCTGTCTCCTACTTATTTTCCCTTTGAAATTTAATGCAACTTGTAGGCTGAATGTAATACAATTTGATCATAGATAAGGCTTATTGTTGTGTTAGAAAGCAGGAGAGTACCGTAAAATGGGGTGTTAAGGGACAGTGGGGTGTTAAGGGACAGTTGCATGGGAAAAACTTTGAGTGATATTAACTTCCTAATTTGAGAAGGTTCAATAAAAACTTCAGTGTGGTAGTTGACACTGTTATGTTCTTGACCATAGGACAAAATGGTATGTTTTTTCATGCAAGTGATTTGGTTCAAAAATGGATTTGAAAATCATGCTACATTTTCACAAAATTGAAACATCTCCAAAACTTTGTGTGTACCATATAAACTAGTGCGTGTACAGGGAAAATGAATGCATAGGTGTATTGTCACATGTATTGCACATGTTTCCTGAAAAACTTGTGCAAATCCACCCATTCATTCATCATCCTCTTCCTCTTTTCCTCCGGATACATGCATATTTTGAGGTGGATGTGGGGTGCTAAGGGACAGGGAAGAAAAAATAAAAAAATAATATCTAAATATAATTTCATTAAATTTTCTTTCAGTAGGCATGGAAAACACCAAATTCCACATAAAATGCTGGCAAGTTCATCCTTTTATCTCTAACACATCTTAAGTTATATAACAAAACATCTCAACACTCTTTTACAATGATGGGTCAATGGAGACTGATGTAGGTAAATGTAATGTCATCATAAAAAGGCTAAAACAAAGAGGGCAACATAATGACAAGTGACTAGCTTCAACATGGGTTTTTATTGATGACAGAAGGTACTTTTTGGTTCTGTTTACCTTATAATTAGCACATTTTCCAGAAGCGTAAACTGCATTACACGTAATTGGCTAAAAAGGTCATTAGTGGTGAATGAAGCTGACTTGTTTTGTGACAGAATATGCAAAACATTTCAATAAATAGATTGTGTGCCCTTCCACACCCCAATTGTGGGCATTTGATGACCATTTCTTGGAATACTATAGGTGTCCCTTAACACCCCACATTGGGGTGCTAAGGGACAGTGATGAAAAATAATAAAAAGTAATATGCAGGTATAAATCTTAAAAACTTTAATGTGGCAGGCATGCAAAGCACCAAATTCCACATAAAATGCTGAAAATTTGATGCTTCTATATCCAACCCTTCTTGAGTTATATAACAAAACACCTCAAAACTGTCCCTTAACACCCCATTTTACGGTACAATACATTGCTGTTTTTTATAGACAATACTCAATATTGAATCAACAACAGATATTGACCAGCCTAGCTACTCATCTTCTAGATGAAAAGAAAGCCAAATACAAGAAAGCAATGTGCTTGTGTGCTCTTCTTCATGTCAAACTTGAAATTACCCATAATTATCATAAACAGGCCACTGCTCACAAGCAAGGAGAACTAACAGCAGACCATAATCAAAGGAGAGGGCAAAAGGAGCATACAAACCTCCTGGAAGTGCTCCGGAAAGAGGCAGCTTAAAATGATGAAACTTGTCAATCTATTTGCATGGAAAAATCTAATAAATTCATTTGTATTGCATAAATAATTTTATGGACAGGATATCAGAGGGCAAAAACAAGCTTTTAAAATGTTAACAGCTTTTAGGGCTAAGGATGAGAAATCACCCCACAAACAGCATCTACCCTTCTCGTTCTGAATCTAGTTATATCTTAACAAGGATTTTTTTTTTACAAAATAAACATAACGGCAGCTGGCAATGTTTGATAAAGTCAAGATAAAGTCAAGATGAGGTCCTACATAAAGTCCTAAGAAGCTTTCAATGATACGTTTTGCATATTCGTACATTATTTGACATCCTGAATCAAAAAATGATACTTGCATGTCTCGCAAAAACAAAATAACAACATGCCACCAACCAAAGCCAAGGCCGTATAAGACACTAAAGCCAATCTGAATTGAAGTCAGTAGGAAGGTAGCCTAACTAAATCCCGACCATTATCAAGTTTTCTAAGGGCAGTGGGGCACAGCATGAGCATCAGCAATTTATTGAGATCAAACGCTGAAACAGGTCAAAATACAAATCCACTTAGTTACCTACCAAGAAAAACGTTACTGATATACAATAATTGTCAAAAAAAAACTTACCAAGATAGCTTTGTCCTATATCAATATACATGAACACCCGGAATAATAAGCCCACCTACCGCCTGCCCAGCTATAGAAAAATAAAATTCGAACGCACTGAACTCTATAATATCAGGGGGCGTCGAAGTTTAGTAGGAAAATCTGGCAATCCCCGGCGTGACGTAACGTCGGGGATGACCGACGGCACCTTGCACTGAAAGATACGGCAGAACGGCTATTTTTGAAAAATGATTAAAAATACTTTTGTGCTGTTATGACACATAAAACGCTTATCAGCATGTTCCTCATCATGTGATTAAGCCTTATCCGTGGTCGAAAATAGCTAAGCCCCTCCCAATTTCCAACCATCGACCTTATAAGCAAAGGATGTAAGCGCAATCCTTAAGGGCGACTTTCCGTTACATACCCGCACATAAGCGTCCTTATGGAAATCGGTAGTGTAGCGATTGGCGACGCGCGCGACATCTGTGGGACGACTGTGGCGACACCTGGCGGCTGCTTTTCTGCTGTATGTAGGTATTGGGGTTTTGCCAGATATGGTTCCTACTGCTACACCACTATGTTGACCGAATACTAGAATGTTATTTAGCCAGTAAAAAGCAAGCAAATTAGAAGTTAAGTTATAAAATTGCTTATAAATGATAACGAGACTATAATAACGAAATTTTGATTGAATAATTATTTAAATATGCAACCGTGAAACTTTATTCTGGTAGGTTTAGTAGAAATTAGTCCGTGCAACCTTGTATTTAGGGCCTTGTATAATATAATGTTCGAACGTAAATTCGAATGGCGCATAAGCAAGCCGCAATCGTCCCCAGTAATTGTTCAAGGTTTTAGTAATTAGGCATCTCATCTTGTTAGGAAACTAGAGTGAAAAACTTATGGCGTCATAGCCCACTTGACGTCATCAAATTCAGACTCTAAAGTCTAAGCGAGCCAGAGGCCCATAAACGAAATGATAGTATGTTTTAGGGCCTTCAATAATAGCATTGAAAGGTGCTGAGGCCTGAGTGGTTGCCACGCTCCAATCAGATAGCACCTGTGGCTGTCAAATTACGATAAGTGCCATTGACGCGGTAACGCCAGTCGCCACACTGGCGGATCCAGAAAGGTCTTGGACGCTGCGGGTCGGGCATACCCCGAAAACGTTTCCTAACTTAAAAAAAACTAATCGGATCTCCATTCCTTGCGCACCGCTGCGCAGTGTAAGCAAACTTTTCTTTACAGAAGTTGTTTGGTTTTCGTTTTTACCCCTAAAAAACGTATATTTTCGTCAATTCGGGCACTGCGGGAGGGGGGCATTTGCCCCAAATGCCACCCTGGATCTGCCAGTGTGACGCCAGACATCGCAAAATAAATTTAGAAAATGCGGATCGTCGGATACCCTTAGTGAGGGCTCAGGGCAGGCAAACAATTGCTCATATACGGAAACCCTCACTGAGGGGCGAGGGCGAACAGAATGCAGACTCAGAAGTCAGAGACGGACACTACCAGACTTGGCGAACAAATACACCAGCTAGAGACGGACACTGCAACTGGGGCGGGCAAATACCTACTCGCACTAAGAGGCGGACACTACCAGACTTGGCGAACAAATACACCAGACGGACACTGCAACTGGGGCGGGCAAATACCTACTCGCACTAAGAGGCGGACATTGAGGGGGCGGAGAAAGAGCGGCTCATAGACGGACACTGTCACTGAGAACGGACAAATACTCCCGCCCAGAGGTGGCCACTGCCACTGACTATTGGGGACGGACAAATATTCCCACTCAGACACGGACACTCCCACTGAGGACGGACAAATACTCCCTAGAAACGGACACTGCCGCTGAGGACGGACAAGTAGGGTTTGTTAACACTAGTACCTTCTCCCACCGAAAGACGGACACACCCAATGAGGACAGGCCAATACCGGCCAGAGACGGAGCTTAACATTAAAAATTGGGCATGGTGCCATGTCTTACTTGCCTCCCCCCCCCCCTTCCGCGGCTGCCAGCGGGTCCAATGGAGCAGTTCCGATTACTTGTTCCTTTTCTTTTTAACCCTATTAGTGGCAGGCTCCTGGCTACCCCACATTAGTGGCAGGGGGGGGGGGGCTGTTTACGACCCCCCCTTGATATCTCGAGATCTAACCGGCCGATTTTCAAAATTCAAACGGCATTCGATTTGGCTCAACGAGATCTACATTTCTAAAAAAAAATAAAATTAAAAAATGTCAATAGGGGGGTAGAGGGGGGTAAAAACGGGCAAATTGCAGATACATTTTAGACTGTTTATCACGGCCAGGTTTCTGAACCAATCTTAACGCAACTTTTGCCGATCGATAGAGAATGAACCAGGAATTCACATGGATCCTAAAAATATGCATTTTCAAAAATCATAGGCGGATACAGATCATTGAGATTGGGGGTACACAAAAAGTATAGTAAATAAGGTTTTTGTTGGTACTGTTTCTAAAAAGGGTGGCAATGGTCTTGTTATGTTACAATTTTCTTATGAGAGAACGACTAAAATTGTATTGGTCATGCATAGGCGGTGTCAGGGCACCTATGTTGGGAGGTAAAAAATAACCCCCCTTTTTGGACGCCTGGATCCGCCTATTATAGCAAAAACGTGTCAAAAGAGGATGCACAATAACTTTGTATATGTTATCACATGATACCTTTCATTCACTGTTCGTAAAACTGGTGCAGCATCGTGATCTTCGCCCAAATGACTCGCTTCACGAATAGGACCCCCTATTCCCAGTGCTCTGGAGCCGCCCCTGGTAAAGTTATGAACTTGAAATTTTCAGGGAATGTGCCCAATTTAGTTTTAGGAAAAGTCAGAAAATTTCAGCATCGTAGCTTCAGCGGTTTCGGAGATATTCCCGAAAAACCTGAGGGGTGGATAAAAACAACCCCCCCTGCCACTAATAGGGTTAATAGCTAGTGGGAGGCATACATACATATTTATTGAACATCAACTTTTCCAGCGATCCACATTGGATAATAATACCGCATTAGAAATGTTAGGTATTCGTTTTGATGACGGGCTATCTGGTGAATGCACCTAATTCGACCAAATCTGCACCAAATTTCTTTTACAATAAATATCTTCGTATCATCGATTTATTTAAGCGTTTAACCCTCGCCCGCACATGCCATTTTCCCATCCTAGAACGCACATGGGGGGGGGGGGGGGGTTGCCACCCCCCCGCGCCATTTCGTTCCTGTTGGAGATAGTTAGAGCTTAGCGGTAAAGACCAAAAAGATTCTTTGGGAAGAGACGAATCCAATGATACCCAGTTTTACCTTCTCAGGTCAGTCATTGACCTTCCAGGTCAGGTCAAATTAAAAAATGTTGCTGTTTTGGGTCACCGTTGGATATCAAGTGCGCTGCTTATCATATACCGATGACGATGCCGTTTTCTGGTGCCAAGCCAGCTAGAACCTCTTTGTCACACTACCCGACCAGAAATTTGCTGCTGAGGTCATTTCAGGTCAAGCTAGGTCAAGGTCAATTATATGTGTTTGTATGTCTGTGTGTGTCTGTTTGTATACTGATGTGTGCAACGATTGTTTATGTGTCCATATTACATGAAATCATGATCTGAGAAGCTTTTACCAAAAATGCAGTCAAAAAACTTCACAAAAAGTAAATTCAGCTTGCCTAAAACGCAATTATCTTAGATGACCTAGGTTGACCTTGACCCTGACCTTGACACCTGTACATCGTCGAACAACATGTTCCATGATAGGTGGGAGGTAAGACTGGCAAAAAAGGCCGAAATCAAGGTGTCAAAAGCTCACAAGGCCCATAGCAAACGCAAGATGTTGAGAATTGGCCATTTGGGTCATGACATGACCTGAAAAGCAAGGTCATATCTCCGAAACCAAAAATCACAGAAACTTGAACTTTTCAATGGACATCAAGAAAGGATAGAGGAGCAGCTATACGAAAAATCAGCCTTCTAGCTAAAAAAAATGTCGAGTGCAGAGCAGAAAGACTACCTGGGGGGGGGGGGTGGCAGCCCCCCCCCCCCATGTGCGGGCGAGGGTTAATAAAAAATAATGACTGATGATTTGACAAATTAGGCATTACTTAGCATCTGTGCAGCCCAAACTGATAACTTTTAAGAAACACACATAACACAATCTGACCAAATCTGCACCAAATATGCACCTAATCTGCATCAAATGTGTAGGTACTAGTCAGTGGCCACCGTGAAAACGGCTATTATTGCCAATAATGTTTTTCATAAACTAAATAAAACGATGAAAATATCCTTAGAATCATATATTAACATAAACAAGAACATTTATAAACATTTATAAAACATTACCACCAACATTAAACAAACATTTATATTAGGATAATGTTTATGACAAAAAATATGCAAATTAAATACAAGACATCTTTAAATACGGCAGCCGCAATTAGCCACGCGCTGTGGAATGAAGAGCGTGATGATGGGAGAGTCAATGATCCGCAACATTGTTTCAATTGCATTTCAAAATAAATTGATCGAATAAATCTCGTGTTAGGGCCTTTCTGACTCCTAAAGGCAAAACCGTCACCTTGTCCTAGCTTAAAAGTGCCTATGCATGCCTAATACCTAGTCCTAAAAGCAGCATGGTTTGAGTAGTCGTTTGTCATATACGGGAACGTTACTGATGAGCAAAAACGACCACCTGGTGCTCTGTACAACCATATCAATATTTACAACTTTCTAACCACCGCAGAAAACGTGAGCATGTGTCGCGAAAAGTCTTTTGAAAATCACGACTGAAAGCAACACAGACCAAGGGATTGCAAATAGCATTTACGCCTCCGCTGGCTACCAGAAAAATAAAGAGGCGCATTCGTGTCACCGGCATCAGTATGCACGTGAACTCGTTCTTGTAGAAGACCACCGCCACGTACGGCGTGAACGAGATGAAGAAAGTCAGCAGGAAGGCCACCATGGTGGCCACGATCTCGATCCGGCCGCGCCGGGGGACCCGCGCCGGCCTGCGGGCCGCGCCAGTCGCCGGCGGCCGGCCGGACTGGCCGCCCGCCGTGCCGGATAGCGCCGT